CTGGAGCCTCCGGGTCATGTCCGCGATCAGCTCCAGCTTTCTCCTGGGCCGCAGGAGGAGAAAGAGGACGATGATGAGGAGGAGCGAAAGAAAAACAAAAACGACGGGATGTTCTTCAATAGTTTCGGCCCCCGGGGGCCCTTACTGGGCCGTGGGACCGTCAGAACACGACTCAGGATGAAAAGCCAGTGCTAGAGAATGGGTCGAGATTTCTGGGGGTCGACGTGATGAACAAAAGTGAGATGAGGAGGAGCGTGATGAAGAAATCCCGTCACGAAGAAGGAGGAGAGGCATCATCCCTCTCTGGGAGAGGTCCCCCGGCCGCGTCCAGGAGAGGCCCATCCTCGCGTCGGTCGGGAGCCCAGCCGCGGGGGGCCCGCGCCCGCGCGAGGGTGGAGCGGGGACGCCCAAAGGCGCTGCGGAAGGGAAGGCGTCATCCCTCGTCCCTGCCTTTCGGTCGCTGCCTCTGTTCTCCCGCTAGCCCTTGGTGTTTGCTGCCCCTCCCACCGGCGCTGAGGTGGGAGGGGTTCGAAGCCGCAGCGACCATTGAGACACATGTCCGCAGCCCGAAGCTTGAAGGAGGAGGAAGAACAATATGAATCGGAAGAACAGGTGGTGGAGGAGGTGGAACCGGAGGAGGACAGAGGAGGACAGAGGAGGGGTGCGCAAAAGGAGGAGGAGGAAGAACGCAACAGGTTTACCGAAGGTTTGCTGAACGCCAGAGGAGGAGGAGGAGCAAGTAAGCAAGCAAGCAAGCAGGCAAATCTCGCGGAGTCACCCGATGGCCTCGGCTACGCATCTAAGCCTCGGACGGTCACTTAGGACTCTGAGGGGGTGGTCAGCCACCAATGATTGCATCATGCGCCTCTCGGCGATTTGCACGATCCCGCACAGCGGGCATAGGCCCAGACTTGTACCCTCCTGGGCACGCAATCCCAATGAGGGGCGAGTCATCGGGCACGATGCCTGCGCTTAGATCACAAATCGAAAACTGTGCGCCCATCGTATTTCCCTGTCCAGGGGGGCAGGACTTCTCCGCCCCAGCCAGCGCCCCGAGGAGCGTTCCGAGAGGTGAAGTACTGCGGGACAGGGCGCACAGGGGGCAGAGTGGTGACAGGCATGGCAGGGATGTCGGGGTGCCCATACGACTAGACTTGGCCCGTCGCTCTCGCTGCTGCAGCCGCCGAGACCAGCCCGCTCGATGCCAATGATGCAAGTCTCTCGCTGGTGGCCATAAAATCCCGAGCAGTCCTGCGCCCGCGCGGCGATCGGCTTTGCTCACTGAGCGGCGGGCGGGCTGGCTCAGGCGATGAATATACTGCGTGCCCTGGCCGCCGTTCAGAAGCCTCGAGACCTCCCGCTCAAGCGGCCCCTTGGGCGCGGCGCCCATGAGGCGCCAGCCGTTCGCCCTGTCGAACAGGCCGTGGATCGCCTCGGAGACCTCCTTCGCAACCGCGTGCGAGTGGTCCAGGGCCCAGGTGAAGTGAGCCATCTTCGTCTTCCCCTCCTGGCCCTTGTGGATCTTCAGCGTGAAGACAGGCAGCGAGCTGGCCCATCTCCGTCGAGTCGAGCTTCGAGATCATCGTGAGGACGCTGCGCAGCATGTCCTGCAGGCCCTCGTCCGCGTACGTCGACAAGCACGTCGAGAGGAAAGCCTCGAATATGTAGATGTGCGGGCTGCCGCGGGCCCTCCAGTCCACCTCGTCGCCGTTCTTGACCGCCTGCCGCAGCTCCATGCTTTTGTCGTCGTATGTCTTGCCCGCCTTGGTGCGCCCCTCGGCCAGCGGGCAGCCCGCCTGTGCCGTCATCCTGTCGTAGACGGTTGCCGCGACCTCGGCGAGCTTGCGAGAGTTGGCGAGGAGGAGGCGCGCCATCGTCATGGCGATGGCCGCGGCCCGCGCGCCCTTGCCGTCGCCGTTGCCATTGCCCTTGCCTTTCGTCGCCGCCGCCGCTGCCTCGCCACCGGCAGGTCCTGCCGAACCCGCTGCTCCTCCGCTGCCCGCTTGATCGGCGCGATCGGCTCCGTCCTGTCCCTGGTGCTTCTTGCGCGGATTCAAAACCGCGCTGCGCCGCGGAGGAGAGAGAATAGCGGCCGCCGGTTCGGCGGGCATCACTCGAGTGGCGCTGGAGAGCCGCCGAACTAGACGCCACCACCGGCAGTTGTTGAACAACAAGATGGCTACAGAGCGGACCAGGGCCCCCAAATTCATCCGAGCACAAAACGACACGCGTAGTTGGGAGGTTCGAGAAGAGGCGCTGGCGCACGCCCCCCCTGGGGTGGGCAACGTTCTCGGTGCGTGGCGGTCAGCAAGTGGCGACCAGCAAACCAACGATCCCTGAATGTGCGCCTGCAGCAGATGCACGCGCTGGCGGGCGCGAGGGCCGCCGCCAAGTTTTTCTTGCGGTGGCCAAAGCGAAGATGGTTGAGCAACTGCTTGCGAGTGTAGAATTCTGCTCCGCAATCTGGCTCTGAGCATAAACGGAAGAAGGGGCGTGGACCATGGGGAAACCTATCAGAACTAGGCTCTCGCTGGGGAAGCTGGGGGTTAACCCGCCCCTCGGGCTGGGGCGGCCCAGGCGGCGGGGTCGCCGCCGAGAACGCCCTCCCCCTATTCTTGTTAACATCGATAACCCGAAAGTCCGCGCGGGCCTCTAGATCGCAGAAGAGGCGCGCGTCCGACGCGAGAGACTCGATGCAGCCCTCGTCCAGGAGACGTCCCGCAACATTAAAATCCCCCACGACCTGTTGGGCCCAGGGGGGGGCCCGCCGAGTAAGCTGACCATCCCGAGTGGGGGGCCTGTCCGAGTTGATATTCACGGTGCCGAATAACGAGATGAGAACCTGCGACGGCCCCTTGGGGTCCGTGGCCCATCCCTGATGAAGACGTAGACGACGCATAGCAACTCCTCCCAGGCCCCAGCATCTCCCAATGCTGTATGAACTCCTTCGTGCTCACGCTGCGCGCGTGCTCGCCCCCCAATCCGTGACGCCCTCTTTCATGGCGATCATAATCCAGAAGCCGCATTAAAGTGATCATTTGTTTTTTGCCCCCCCTCTGTCACAGAGGGGGTCTGAGATGCCCCCCCTCTGTCACAGAAGGGGTCTGAGATGCCCCCCCCTCTGTCACGGAGGACCTCGTTCTGGGTGCTCTTCTGCCACGGGAGCTCCCGATACGATTGGAGACGATACAAAATGTGATAGCGGGATGGGGGATTGGAGGGGGAGGGAGAAGAAAACGATGAAGGAGAGGAGGCAACGACAGCACCGATGAAAGCACCGTTTCTTTTTCCTTCTCCGCTCGGGCAGCGGTCGCCGAGCACGACGGCGCGCGCGAGTCGCCGCCGCTCACGATGCATTGGCAAGGCCTCCGCTGCTGCGGAGGGTCGACGTTCGGCCGATGAGGCCTCCCTCCGCTGCTGCGGAGGGGCGGCTCCTGTGCGATGGTTCAACTAAGCTTTTCCCAGGGATTGGTTTCGGGGGGGGGTTCGACCCACCTCCAAGTCGTGGTCGCGACCTCCCAGTGCCCCTGGCCGCTACTCCACCCACTGTGGCTGCTCCACCAGTCACTGGGGCGTTGGTCGCTGCCGAATGCAACTTGCATGTCGCGCCAGGCGGAGTCGACCATGCGGTCCTGCAGCGAGGAAGCCTCGCCGCTCGGCTGTTGCCACTCGCGCTCCTCGCCCTCCTTGGTGCGCCACCACTCATCCCTGCGCCACTCCTCGTCTGTTGGTTGCTGCCGTGGCGTTTGTGGCCTCCGCTGCTGCGGGGGCTCTGGCGGCTCGTGGCCGAGGGCAGCGATCGCGTCCGAGATGTAGATGGCGGCGCCGCGCTGCCCTCGCTGCTCCAGCGGCGCAGGCCCTGGAGATGGGCACTGCGGGGTCGGCTGCCACCTGGGGGGTGATAAATAATTATTTCTATATCCCCTCCCTGTCAACTCCCGCCCCTTCCCGACACTCATTTCCTTATGTCATCCCTCGTCCTGCTCAGCCTATTCCTCATTCCCTCTCCTCCCTCCTGCCCTCCCCGTGCTCCACCGCCCCTCTCCCCCCCTCCCCCTTTCAACCCCCCGCCGCGACCTTCCATCGCCAGCCGCGGGCATGTCGCGGCCGTCGTCCGCGCTTTCGTCTGCCCATCTTGGTGGGCGCCACGCCTGTTGGGCGCGCTCGTCTTGCTCGTCCCTCTCGCTGTGCTGCTCTGGTGCCTGGCGCTCGGGTCCGTGCTGCTCGGGCGGCAGCGGCGCCCTGAGCGCAGCTGCCAGCTGTTTCTGGGCGCGCCTGTCTTTCTTCTCTTTGGCTCTCTCCTGCTTCCTCCCCGGCGAACGCACGCTGGCCATGCGCATTTGGAACAGGAGAGGGTAGTGGGCGCCGCCGTGCCAGCGCCCCTCCACCTCCACGGTCTCTGGCGGGAACGTCTTCTGCAACGCGCGGAAGAGGGTCACCTCGCGATTACTAGAGAAGCGGTGGTCCCCTCTAGCCTCAGCCTCGGCGCGCCTCAGTTTCTCACTCTCCTTCTCTTGGATCTTGCGTTGGCATTCCTCTGACTGAGTCAGTAAATCCTGGAGGTGCTCGCGGGCGTCTTTTTTCGGGTAGTAGCAAGAGTAAGGCATCCCAGGGCCTCCGTTCTGGCTGTGGTGCCAGTACGTCGGCTGCGATGATGGGCTGGTGGCGGCCCCCGCTGCTGCGGGGGCCTCTGCCTTGCTTCTGTTACGGTACCCGATCTCACCGATCACCGACTTGCGTGCGAAGAGCAACCCCGTCTCGTCTCTGTCGTGCACGGCGCTCAGCGGCCAGCACAGGGTGTACTCGCCAGGCCTGTTGAGAACGAAGATGCCGCAGCTGTCCAAGCACGGAGTGCCGTCCAATCCGCGCCAGAAGTACGCTGCTGCCGTCTCCAATCGCATGCCTAGACCCCGAAGACTCGGCAGCGTCTGTGTGAGCGCCATGTTGAAATCCCCACAAAGGATGTCAACGCTGTTGTCCTGCAAGATGGTCGCCAACCTCGGCCACCACGTCTTGTGAGCCTCGTTAAAGCCTCTGGAATTT